GAAATAAAATAATTATTACGCATACATTTTTTTATCGAGTTTTCCTGAACTGGTTTCGCTTATTTTATGGAGTTTATTATGAATTTCCGTAAGTTTTGCGCACAGAACGCAGGAAATTAAGTTCGAATGACGCTAAATTACCCAAATGTTTTGTATAAATATGAATAGATAAATGTCTGAAAAGGCCGTTTCCGACGATCTAGAGACCGTAATTTTCAAAATTTTTGATTGGTAACCAGCAAATCATAATACCATGACAAATCTATTTTTCCTAGCTACGCTACTGACTAGAGCATCTTATAATAAGTAAAATTGCAATGTTTGGTTGTATATTTTTTGTATAAGAACACCTTATTAAAGTCTGCAGCTGAAATCACCCATTCATATATATACTTAAATTATGTTTCTACATTCGCCAGGCAAACCCACTGAACCATGTTTCAAATAGCGTTTGACAGGTTTATTTTGATCAGCCAATCACAGTTAACTAGCCTCACGTACGCTGTTTGGTTGAGTCAGTTAAAAACATCAAATGTTCTTCAGAAATATGAACAGGACAATATTTTTATCTGCGCTTGTATATTCTTGATGTATTTTGGCGTATCATGCGAAACGTTCTGTAAAGCTGTCAATCTGTGTTAATAAAAAATGCGTTGCTATGGAGAACATGTGAAGAAGTAAGATGATGCTTGCATGGCTAGATTGTGTCGACTTGAATAACTTTTAACTAATTATTCCACTGCTATGTGCTCCACTTTGATCTGGTGACACTGAAGCATCAAAGAATGGCCCTAACTCTACTCACACGAGTTCTGTAAAACATTGGGAGTGTAAAACTTGCCTTCGTAAACATATACAACTGTACATTAATTATAACCTTCAAGAAAGCATAGAAGTGACTTAATTAATTAACCCTATTCACACATTGTCAAGTTCTGTGCAACATCAGATGACTTTCGAGTAATTCACATTCGCAAATATTCAGTTGTGATGAGATTTAGGCATAATTTGTTTGCTAAAAGCCACTTGTGAACATTGATGAAGTCATGATTAATTTTGAATTCAATTTCGGGTACTGCTTTATCAGAAGCAGCCAGTGAGAGTAGTTTCGTTTGCAAACATTCTTACTGTTGATTTCTTAATACAATTTGGCAAATCGTTTATATAAATTAAGAAAAGGTCCCAAAATAGAGCCTTGGGCGACTCCATAATCTATTTCTTGAGGTTTGGATAGACATCATTAACACTTTTGTGTAAGATTTTCTAAATATGAGCTAATAAGATTTAAGGTGGATGATTGCATGCCGTACAGAAACCAAGTTTTGCAGTTAAAAGTTCATGATTCACAGTATCGAAAGCTTTTTTAGATCAAGGAAAACTGTAATATTGAGCATATACTATCATCCGCTATATTTCTATACCATTCGCCAGTGGGATCAAGCATGGCATCCGCTGTTGAGTTTAAAACCAAACTGATGCTGGGAAATCAGGTTATTATTGTTTAAGTAAGTATAATAATTATTTATGAAGGATTTTTTCAAAGATTTTTCTAATTGCTGACAGAATTGAAAGCGCTTGGATTCTTAACGTTATTATATAATTGTTAATAATGTATTATGTCCTAAATGCACTACATGATACGTGCACATGTTTACACAAAAAAATCCTTCGATATTAAAGCCAAACTGACATCTAGTTTTTTGAACATTTATTTAAACACGGTAAATTCTTCAGTGTAGGTACCGTCTACACACTTACATCTGCTAAACTAATTTAAAAGTAATTCTACGTTTCAAGGATATTTTTAAAGGATTTATAAGATTCAAGAGGAGCCAGGAGTAATTAATAAAGACTATATTATTTTACTTCATACCCGTCTTAATCAGAGGCGTAGTCAGGGCTGGGGCCGGGGGGCCCGCCGGCCCCCCCATGGCAAAATTTTGGGGCCCCGCTGGCAACGTTTTTGGGGCCCCATGATAAAATGTATTGTATAAAAAAGGGAATCCTTGATTATATAGTTTCATGCTGTCAAAAATGCAAAAATTCTGTAGAATATATGCTTTGCTGGGCATCAGTGTGCAACCTAAAATCACTTGTTCGCTTATTTGCGGCACACAAGTTGAAACACATACCTTTTTTAACCCTAAATATTTCAATATGTATTAAATGAGGGTTAGATGAAGTTTAAACCAATCTGTTTTTCTTACAAGTGAATTCTTAATGCAGGCTCGGAGGCCGTGGCCGGAGGGGACGGGGGGTGGGAGACCCGTCGGAAAATTGAGACCCGTCGGGAAATTGTCAATAGAAAGTTTGAGCAAGACAACGAAGTACGAAGACGAAGGCGTATACTTGCCAAATTTTGCCGTAGACCTGCATATTATCTTGCGCATACTGAGTTGCACGTCACTGGTGGTTGCTCGACGTGTCTTCCCATGTGTCGCTGTTTATGCATACTGACCCTAATTCTTGCCCTGACCCAGAAAAAAACAGCGAGACACGAAACTATATCCCGTGTTTGTCCTTCTGCCTTCGTTCGGAACGAAGTTCACAGTACCCTGGATTCCAGAGCCTTCGAAGTAAATAATAAATTGAAATGTCGCGAAGGCTCTGGTTCAACGGGGCGGTTCTTTGATTAAACCGCGCCAATCACAAAACAGAATTAGTGGTTTTAGTACAGAATCTGTACTAAAACCACTAATTCTGTTTTGTGATTGGCGCGGCTTAATCAAAGAATCGCCCCGTTGAACCAGAGCCTTCGCGACATTTCAATTTATTATTTACTTCGAAGGCTCTGGAATCCAGGGTAAGTTCACAGCGAATTTTGCCAGAATTTTTGCGAATTTTTCGTTGTGAACGAAGGCATTCTCTACCCAAAGCCCTACTTGCGCGCGGTGCGATGAGGGGTTCTGGTCAAATCCATAACCGGATACCATAAAAACATGGTAAGAAAACAATATCCGGTGTTAGAACTAGCCAATCAGATGCCAGTTTGGAATATGGATTTGGCCAGAGCCCTTCGTTGCACCGCGCGTAAGAAGGGCTCTGGGTACGAATACGGAACAAACTTCAAGGCAATCTCGTTCCCCAAGCCTGCGATCCTCGGGAAGGAACGCGAGGCTCTGGGATAATCCGTTTCAGGGAGGAACCTGATTGACCGTTGAAATGGAATGCGTAGTTCAATCGTAGCCAGAATTCCTGGCTTCCGGCAATGGATTATCCCAGAGACTCGCGTTCCTTCCCGAGGATCGCAGGCTCGGGGAACGAGATTGACTTCAAGGCAGGAGAACGAAGACGAGATATGGATTATGAGTCTTGCTGTTTTGTCCTGATCATGGTAAGGATTTGGGCCAGCATTCATAAACAGCTAGACATAAATCTCTAATCTGTCTTCACACCTGACTCTAAACTCAGAATGCGTAAGATAATGTGCAAGACAGCCAAAAATTGTCAACCACGGTCCACTTTGTCGTCGTCCGACTTCGTTCTCTTGCTCAAACTCTCAACTGTTGTCGGAATCTTCGTGGTGAAGCATCGGAAAAAGTGATACGGAAATCGGGAAAAGTGCTACGAAAGCAATTGTAATGTTATTGTCCAGAAAATTTTTTTACCGAAAAAGTTGTTGACGGGGGCGGAGATTTAAAATGTTGTGTGGTCCCCAAAATTTTTTCTTCAGCGAACTTTGCGTCTCGAGTCACTGGCGGCTTGACCCCACCTGGGTTTTTGCCGGCCCCCTCTGACCGAAAATCCTGGCTACGCCTCTGGTCTTAATTCAACTACAGGAAATGACGGCTATGAAATACAAAAAGTTTTCAAATTTCGAAATGCGAATTTTCAAAATTTCAAATCATGCACCCAATTTTTTTATGAACATATTTTATGTGGGAGCCAGAATCACTCGAAAGTGTTTTCCATGCAGTCCTTCAGATTATTAAAATACAATCAATAAAGTTAAAACATTAAAAGATAGTAAAGCAGATCCATATACAGCATATTACACTAAATTATATCTAATTACGAATAAGAGTGCTGGTCGCTGTTTAGAATTATACGAAAAGATTTCAAACTAGATTTAAAAACTATACGCATACAAATTCCAATACTTAGACTTAAAATTCACGCTAAAATATTCCAATCTTTAGTAAATGGTACTTTGTTCTTAATTGTCCCCAGTGAGTATTTATGGCGGATATACTATAATAAGATGATCTTTATTTCTTGTATTGTATCTTCTGATATCAGCAAACAAACGACACCCACGGATTATTACCAACGAATAAATCACAATGCCGATACGGCTCTGATTGCCCCATATATCAGATATTAGGATATGATTTTTATGCAAATTGTATTGAATATTCAAGTTATTAAATCTATTTGATTTTTGGATTTTCAAATAATTGACTTGACGTTATCAAGATTACAAGAAGGATTTCTCGGGAATATACTCAGAATAGATTTCAGTTCTGTTGTCATGGGATTCTAGAATTTACTCGCCAGAGCTGAACCCACTAAGTTTAAAATGAGCCAATTTTTAACGGCAAGAATATTTACAATGAAAAGAGATACTCCAAATCTGTCAATTGTTTTACAAATCGAATTACAACGTGTTTAAATTAGTTTTACCACCAAGTTACGTATTTTACATGCATACATGCATACTTTCCCACGCGAATTCGAACTAAAGACTAGAACGTTTTAAACACTGGATAAAAAAACACTTGTGACTTGACCTCATTAGTCATTCACTCGTAAATCACTGGAAGAAAGATCAATTTCGATCTATTTAGACAATTCCCACCAATTACCAGAATCTGTTCGAACCTCTTCTACCATGTTTGTGTGATGTTACTCTGAGTGTGTATCCACACCGGGCAGGCTTGAAAAATATGCCTGGCCACGGCGGGATTCGAACCTACGACCTTTGGCATACTAGCCCAATGCTCTTCCAGCTGAGCTACGCGGTCAGGACGGTTCCGAAATATCGCATACTCGAACCGTCCTGACCGCGTAGCTCAGTTGGAAGAGCATTGGGCTAGTATTCCAAAGGTCGTAGGTTTGAATCCCGCCGTGGCCAGGCATATTTTTCAAGCCTGCACGGTGTGGATACACACTCAGAGTAACATCACACAAACATCTTATTCACCTGAGTACATTACACCAACACAGCAGAACTCTTCTAACATGTTAGCAACACTGACTGTAGATTTGTGTTGATCAAACCTGTATCGGGGTGACATTGGCTTAATGATATGAATATAGTAAATGCACTTTCCGGCAGTTTTGAGGTCAGTCGCGACAATGCAACTTCGTGCCCAGGACTTTCTGTACGAGCAGCTACGTCACCTTTCCATATATTAAAGCCCCCTCCCCCTAAAACCCCAAAACAATCCCCAACACTAATTTTAACCCATCACCACACTAAAGGGAACTACCCTATGTAACCTAGCTGTAAAATTACTGCAACCATGCAAGCATGCATGTTCTCATGTCAATATAAAATTGCTTCTTCAATTATTTTGTTCTGGGAAAAAAGGAAATAAAAATATTTTCATTAACTTAATCACTTACTGGGAAACATTTGAACTTGCGCGGGCAAGTTGTGTTAAAATCTTTGACAGTTGTGTTAATTAAAAAGTCTTTGTTTAAAATTTCTAAAGGTCAATAAAGGAATACCGAATGGTTTTCCGTGCAGGATTGCTTGATCCTTGCACTTGGGATGTTGCGAGACTTTCGGAAAGCGTAAAAATACACGAGCCGTAGGCGAGTGTATTTTTACGCTTTCCGAAAGTCGAGCAACATCCCAAGTGCATGGATCATGCTATCCTGCGCGGGAAAACCATTTGGTAATTGTTTTATAAAATTACTACAGTGAAACGACGCTTAACTTGATTAAAATTACTGATGAAATGTGCATTTCTCACAACATTCGTGAATTAACCAATCAGAGAATCGCTTCTCCACGCTATTGAAAACAACAACATATGTGAACAGAATTTGATCGCAAATTCGCGAAAATATACAGCGAAAATACAGGGACTTTTTCGATAAAATATACGAAATTTGAAATGGAAAACCCGCTAAACAGAGAGCCAAAGTAGTTTTGAAGATTATCGACCTGAATATGTGAAGATTGCGAAGCGTTTGATCAACTTTGAAGCGAGAGATGTTGTACTTGCATGCCATGGTCTGATGAATTTCAACGCTTACGCGTTGCTCCTTGCTGAATAGCAATGTATCGATCAGAAATTTATTCATGCAACTAAACCAACGTCTCAATAATTGGAAACTTACTTCAAAGTCGAAAGGTATCGTACAATGAAACTTTACAATGCGAGTACATTCGTTAAATTATGTGCAAGAATTTCTGTTCACAATTTCCCGTGCAGGATTGTCCGCTCCTGCACGGCTGTTGACCAATCAAATTGCGTGTTTCACTGTAGTTATTATATAATGGATGATTCCAGCTATATACTAAATTGTGATCTAGGAAAGAAGAACGAAATCCATCACCACCGCTAGATATATAGCTAGAGCATCTTATAATAAGTAAAATTGGAATGTTTGGTTGTATATATATTTTTTGTATAAGACCACCTTATTAAGTCTGTGGTTGGAATCACCCATTCATATATTATATTTTCATATTCGCCAGGAAAACCCGCTGATCGCGAACCATCGTTTACATGCACGAAAGAACGTTCTCTATTCTCAGCCGAAGCGTTCATGTTTCAAAGAGCGTTTGACAGGTTTATTTTGATCAGCCAATCACCTTTAACTAGCCTCACGTACGCTGTTTGGTTGAATCAGTTAAAAACATCAAATGTTCTTCAGAAATTTGAACAGGACAATATTTTTATCTGCGCTTGTATATTTTTGATGTATTTTGGCGTATCATGCGAAACGTTCTGTAAAGCTGTCAATCTGTGTTAATAAAAAATGCGTTGCTATGGAGAACATATGAGGAAGTAATCTGATGCTTGCATGCGGACTCGATTGTGTCGATTTAATAACTTTTAACTAATTATTTCACTGCTATGTGCTCCACTTGTGACACTGAAGCAACAAAGAATGACCCTAACTCTACTCACACGAGTTCTGTCAAACATTGGGAGTTTTAAATACGGTGGCTTGCCTTCGTAAACATATACATGCAATTGTATACATTAATTATAACCTTCAAGAAAGCATAGTAGTGACTTAATTAATTAACCCTATTCACACAAGTTCTATGCAACATTAGATGACATTCGAATAATTCACATTCGCAAATATTCAGTTTTGATGAGATTTAGGCATAATTTGTTTGCTAAAAGCCACTTGTGAACATTGATTAAGTCATGATTAATTTTGGATTCAATTTTGGGTACTGCTTCATCAGAAGCAGCTAGTGGGAGTAATATCGCTTGCAAACATTCTTACTGTTAATTTCTTAATACAATTTGGCAAATCGTTTATATAAATTAACAAAATGTCCCAAAATAGAGCCTTGGGGGACTCCATAATCTATTTTTTGAGGTTTGGATAGACATCATTAACACCTTTGTGTACCATTTTCTAAATATGAGCTAATAGGATTTCAGGCGGATAATTACATGCCGTATAGAAAACAAGTTTTGCATTAAAATTTCATGATTCACAGTATCGAAAGCTTTTTTAGATGAAGGAAAACTGTAATATTGAGCATATACTATCATCCACTATATCTCTGTACCATTCGTTAGTGGAATAAAGCATTGCATCCGCTGTTGAGTCTAAAACCAAACGGATGCTGGGAAATCAGGTTATTGTTTTTTAAGTAAGTATAATAATTGTTTATATATATATGAAGGATTTTTTCAAAGATTTTGCTAATTGCTGACAGAATTGAAGCGCTTGAATTCTTAACGCTATTATATAATTGTTACTAATGTATTCTGTCCTTAATGCACTACATGATACGTGCACATGTTTACACAAAAAATTCCTTCGATATTAAAGTCAAACTGACATCTAGTTTTTTGAACATTAAACATTTATTTAAACACGGTAAATTCTTCAGTATAGGTACCATTTACAAATCTTACATCTACTAAACTAATTTCAATATTAATACTATATAAAACACACTGATTTCCAAGATAGGCGTGTGGCCGGAATCCCGAGAAAAGTCGATTGATTTCATTTTTGAAATGCCTTAATGAAATTACTGTACGTGCAGAATGGGGTATACTGTAGCAATAACTACGCTTCAAATATAGCCAATACATTCATGGTTTCGGAAAATTTTAAAGCTTCATTTCAGCAGTTCGTAAGTTATAGTCAGTGCCGCGGAAATAAAAACAAATTTTACCAATACTCTGGCGCTAATTCTTGATTGTTTTGTACATCAATATAGACTTGTGCTTTTTCCTACGTAATGATACTGAGATTCATAGATTGTCCCAATGCAACTTCTCTAAGAGAATGCTGGAACTGACATCGTAACTGGACTTCGTAATCATGCATTCTGGCAGCCCGATTTTGTAATTTTTGCATATTTTCACATGATGTTGTATTAAATTCATCCCAGAACAAGGCTATACAGTAATCAAAGTGAGGTTATAAATTATTGCAGTATATCTCCATTGCAGTTTGGATTGATATAAAAGGTCATATTCGTTTAGGAGCACCCGCAAGAATTTTTTTACATCTCATATCAATATGCTTGGACCAAGAAAGGTTTTTGTCAACTAGTAGACCTAGTCATGATTTAGCTTTGTCAACTTGTTTAATTAGTGCCATCTATAGGTCAATATTGATCGTTGACGGGATCCATGCAATTATTATAAAATCTGTCTTGGCAATATTGAGACTTAATTTGTTTGCTTCTATAACCAACATTTCAGATTTTTTAATTCTGAATTGATTTCATTTTCAAATCCGGCCGCACAATGTATTAGCCGCATGCATAACTAATATTTGTATCATCGGTGAACATTTTCAGTGATGCTTTGACTGACATAAGTCAGCATGATGTGCACGTATACTGTAGGCCTACGTGCACATGTTTACACAAAAAAATTCCTGCGATACTAAAGTCAAACTGACATCTATAGTTGACATAAATCAGAACACTTCATATTTTCTATAAAAATGCACTTTCCTTACGAATATTTCGTCATGTATAGGTTCAAGCCGAGCAAGAGATAGGACAAATTACAACAGCAGCGCAACTTAAAATGAAGGTGTTGGCGACAGTTCTAGCTTTGACTTTTGTTACAACGCTTTGTGCAGTAAGTACATAAGTAATTTTTAACTAGCCAGTCTAACGTAATGTCCGTGAACTTGTTTTTAAATAAAGCAAATAAAGTAAAATATATTTTCTATTTGAGACGTTTTATGTTTATCATGCATATAGCATGCATGTATCATACCATTTAAAGTAGGCATGCACGAGCAAATATCAAATTTTATACAGTGAATTTCAAATTTTAGGACCCAACAAATTAAAATATGTGCATGCCAACGCAGTCGAAACGGAATGAGTTTCTATGACCGCTTATATAGCGCGCACGTATATATCTTTCACCTTTGTGACTGGGATTTTCGATTCCCGGCTTTTAAAATATCCAAGGCCCTTCGTCGGGATGTTAGTATAGCGGGGTTGGGGAATATTACATCAGCTTCTATGACTGTATCAAGAATATAAAAGCGATCACGTGACAAAAAAAGAACCAATCAGATGGATTTAGTCAAATCATATACAGTTAAGATGTCCTATTTTAAGACTCATGAACGAATAAAGGATGGGCCTATAACTCTACGGAGAACAGCAGACATGATATAGAGCTTACTATAATATAGTCTAGCAGAAATAGTCGGTTCAGTTGAAGTTTCCTATTGTATAGTAATATACTGGAGCAATAAACGACTGTCCTCACTGGACCGCTAAACCGATAGAACAATGAGCTATCCAGTATTTTGTTCAGGTTACCTCCTCTATAGTATATACTGGGACAATAAAGTCAGCTTATAGTTTAGGGCTTCTGTATAGCATTGTCCTTTGCAAAGTAATTGTCCTTTGCAAAACTTAAACTCCAAGCGTGCAAAGCATAATGGGAGCATCATTTAATCAGTTAAGAAATCATATATGGGGCCCATTTCTTAGAGAGAAAATATATATATATATATATATATATATATATATATATATATATATATATATATATATATATATATATATATATATATATATATATATATATATATATATATATATATATATATATATATATATATATATATATACAGGGTGTATCAAAATAAACGCAATTCATCTTTTGTGCTTAATAACTTTCGAAATACTATTTCTAGTTAAACGCTTTTAGGCTTACTTCAAAGCCTGTTCTTTTCTCTTTCAAACAAACTATTATCCTTGTCTCCAATGCTAGTAATAATTGCACAGGAAAAGATTTAGTAAAACCTATCATTTTTAGTTGCTGTTTAATTATGCAAGTTTACTATGTTATTGTTTAGTCGGTTTAAATGTTAGAATTTTCTTCTTTAAACTTTAATGTTGTCGTCACTACATCTGGAAACCCACGTAAGAACAAATTAAAAGTATTTTAAAAGAGACCAGGTTGTTTGAAAATCCTAAACGAATGCTAAAAATCATCGAAACATTCTGGTGTCCGAGCCAGAGTGTCTTCGAATTGCGATGTAATGTAAACAGAAATTATAGCAAGTTGATGTCAGTCAACTTAGATGGTCCAAGCCAAAATTATATCGCATTTGAAGTTTCAAACTGAGTTAAAAATAGTGGAAGAAAAGCCGTAATTATACTTATTCTTACAATCCATTGAATAAAATGCATAATTTTTTTGTTTTAATGAAAAAATCAGTTATTTTCATGAGAACGATTTGTTATACCATCTCAAATTTTTTAATCTCCAATCACAATAACGTAAAGTATTATTACCCGCGGACCAATGAGTCAAATTTAAGAAACAAGCCACTGTTAGAAAGCTGAATGGCTACGCTTTAAAACGAATGTAAACTTTAACGTTTTCGTCTATTATTTGTTTAGCAATTTACATTTCAGTCGAGGATTGCGCTTTTTTTGATACACCCTGTATATATATATA